CACATCTGGTGGTCTGCCCTGGGATACCACATAAATACACATCTAAACCATGCTTTATAAATCATCAAAGCAGTGTGAGGCAAGAACTGGGGTAAGGGCCTAAAACTCTGCAAAAGCATAGGCTTAGCTAAAAATAATGATAATAACCAGCCACTGTTCCCTTGTTTACTTGGTAATAATTAGTCATGTCCCTTTGTTTGCTTCTCTATAATTGCTACTCTGGAGTCACATTGCTGGTGTATATAAAGATGCTTCACTTTCTCCATAGATAACATCACCTTTTGGAAACTAAAGGCAGTTTCTGTGATTTCTTGCAGGCCCAGCTTTCCGACAGAGTGGCTTACCCAGCCAGAAGAGTGACCCTTACCAAGAAACTGACTCCATTGGGCCTGGGACCCCAGGAACTGAAGCAACACAAGCAGGTGATTTTTATACCTGTGTAATTTTGCATTGAACCTAGTCAATTAGCAAACCCAGCTGCCTAATCCTTTGCCTACCAACTGTCCCTAAAAACCCCATCTCCCAAATTCTCAGGGAGTTGGATTTGAGAAATTCCTCCCACCTTCCCGCTTCCTGCTCTGTGGAGCTAAACCTTTTCTCCCCTGCAACCCACACTGTCTCAGAGTGCTGGCTGCTCTCTGTGCAGTCGGCGATACAACTGGCTTATGGCAACACACCCACCATTCCACCTTCAACTTCTCCCCTCACCCCCAACCCCCAGCAGGCAGCAGCCTGGCCACAAATCCTTCCCAGCTTCTAAAACAATCCTGCGCTGATGGATCTTCTTGCTCCCTCCTTTTTTACTTTTACCTCCTAGTTCACTTTTACCTTCAGCTCTTGCCCCTGTGAATTAGAGGAGTTCATCCTCCCTTTGAAGGGGAGGGGAGGAGGAAAAAGAAGAAATTAAAGAATAGAAGTGGCTCAGAATTTTCTGGCCCAATATTACAGTCTTGGAATGTTTAGTGGGGATAGCACGGTGTTCTTTTTTTCACTTTCAGCAATAGCCTAACACCTTTATTGCTTGTCCTGCCTGCTCTGTCTAGATGGTGTTTTTTGATCTCATGCAACCTTATACCATGAAAATATTTCTGTCTCTACCATTCCCTCCAACTCTGCCCCCACATTCGATAGCAACTTACATTATATACTCTTCGCTGTTTGTTTGCCAAAGAGCTAGACCACAGTATAAAAACAAGCCCAGGTTAGAAAATTAGCAGGAATGCCCATTCTTAGCTGGTTTAAGTTATTTTCATGTCTGTTTATGAATGAACAGAGAATGAGTATGTCCTTGTCCAGATTCCAGCCTATCCCCTACCCCAGCCACTTGCTCCCACAAGGATCTGTGAGTAGCTCAGGCAGCCAAAGTCCCAGTAACCGCCCCCTGTTGCCTTTGCTTAATGGGGGCTTCTCTGTGGCCCTGCAGGCTTTCAAGCACCAAGGAGTATCCTCAGCCCTTCCCATTCCTTTCAAGGGTCAGGCAATCAGGCAATCAGGGTGATTTATTTAGAGTCAGGCAATCAGGGTGACTTTGGAAAGTCACTCAACTCTCTGAGTCTTATTTCCTCATCTATACAAGCAGGATGATAATAATACCAAACTTATATGGTGAGAATTCAAGGAACTTGAGAGTTTCACAAAGTGTCTAGAACCATACTTTATATCTATGGACTTGCACAGGAAAATAAAAATCTCAGGACATCCCCTCCCCACATTCCTTATACAAAAAGAAAGGCCAAGCCTGGAGGCTGATTCAACACCCCTTTCTGAATTAATAACTGTTCAAATATCATACATTAGCCAGAGTCCCCCGACAAGCTAAACAGACTCAGGCATCTGTAAGGACTGCCCCCCATAGCTCATTCATAAGGAAATTTCTTCCTGGCCTCCCATAAACCAAGACATGCAAATTGTAACTTTAGGTCTACAGGCTAAGTCTGGTTCTTAAAATTAAATTAATAACGGAGTTGAATAGACAAGCTTATCTCCCCAGGTACAGAACAGAAACAAGATCATTCTTCCACTTCCCCAAGGACAGCTGCGTAATTGACATTGCTTCACTCCCTCCTTCTCATCTAACATTTACTTGACCTTACATAAAATGTAGACTTCCTGGGCCTCCCAGAAATGTAATCTTTTGCCTCATTGCCCACAGCAATCCTCCTTTTTCTTTCTGTGGGTCCTATACCCTTTAAAACTCAAGTTCCCAAATTCCACTTTGGGAAACATAGGCACAGATACGTCTGTGGCTGGTTTTATCCAGGTGCATCTTCAAACTTTGGCTTAATAAATCTCCGTGGATTGAGATCATTGCCTCAGTTACTTATTTTGGGTTAATAGGCTATTGGGGGGTTTGAGTGTGTGTTCTTTCAAGGTTCAGCTGAGCTTTACACAATCACAGGATACTTACAAGGTTATTGTTTGTGCAAACCTCACCAACTGAAATAAAAATAACCCCAAGTTCTGCTCAAATCTGGGGAAATACTCCTGAACATTTTAAATATACATAGACCTTAAAAAGTAAGTTTTATAATACTTATTATTAAATCTCCAAAATTTACCTGAAGGTTCTTTTTCTTTGAGGAAAACAAACCCAAAAGAAAAAGCAATAATCTTTTCTAAGTAAAATATAGTAAAATGTCATTCTCTGAGGTATTCAAATAGCTGTTAATGGGTGGACAGCTTCTGAGTTTTGAGTTCTCAGCAAAGATATTAAATTGCTGCTGAGGGTTTAGACATTTAACTTTCAAGAACTTAGATTGATGATGATCATTATTTTCAATACTGTTGTTTATTTACCTGGTAGATTTCCCCCCAAAGGCCAAAGGACTTAGCCCAACTTGAAAGCTGACCACAGATCACCTTGGTGTGCAGGCCCGAGGCCCTGGGCTAGACGTTTCCCTCTGGTGTGAGAGAAACCACTTCGGTGAGTTGGGAAGGGGCCTTCTTCCCCTGGTTAGTCTGCCTGTGCCAGTACCCATAGCCCCCAAACAGCTGTGAAAGGACCCGGAGATCTCAGCAGGACAAATCTGCAGGTAATGGCCCAACAAGAGTGGCCACCCCACTCAGCTCAAGTTCAACTTGTTCAGGCTCCAAGAGCTAAATGCTCCAGTTTTCCATCACTTGTGTGCTTCCTCCTCCCCTTAAGAGGGCTGTGGGACATTGTCTGGTCTGCAATCTACGCCTGAAATGCTGAAGGCCTTTTCTTTAATGGGCAAATAAATTGAGAGATAGACACTTGAGTTTATCTTTTACTTGAGCTGCGGGAGTTTGGGCAAACCCTGGAGCCCTTTAGGTCCTTCACCTGTAAGTGCACAGGGCTGGGGGTAGGTCTTTAAGGTTCCCATCAGCTTCAGATGTGTGTTTCTAAAGTGACAGCAAAATGAGAATGAAAATACACGTAAGGGAGAGAAGACATTCTCATTTTATAAAAAGTCACCTCATGATTAGAAGTGTCATGAAGAGAGTGGTTCAAGTCACGATTTCACAGATTCCATTCAAACAGCCTTCAACTCTGTATGAAAGATGAAAGGTAACTTACAGGCGATTCAATGTCCTCTAGGAGTAAAACAGAGCAGCGTTCACATTTCAACAGAGTTTGGGCTCGGTGCATTATTTTTTTGACAATTTTCTCCAGGTCAGTCTGCTCCTCGAAGAGGTCATTAACCACCTCTAGCAAGGCCTAGGAAAGATGAAATGGATGAACTTAGGTGGATATAGAACTGAAAAAAACAGTCATTTTTCTTCTCAAAATCCCATTTAGTCATTGTTCTAGTAAAACATCATAAACATATATATATATATATATATATATATTTTGCAGTTTTTGGCCTGGGGCTGGGTTTGAACCCGCCACCTCCGGCATATGGGGCCAGCGCCCTACCCCTTTGAGCCGCAAGCACCACCCCAACATCATAAATATTTTTGTGTGGCAAATTTTAGAAGCTTCGATGATTGTTTGACTTATTTCCATCATTTCATTTTAGAACACACTCTTAACCTGCCAAATACAACTTGAGGGTAGAGCCAGTCCGCATAACAAGGATTATATAGTCATCTGCTGTGTCTTTTTCTCCCTTTCTACAGTAGTTTTTCTGCAATGCAAGTAGGTATAAACCCAACATTTTATAAAGGAAGAACACCTGATTATCTTCAAAGCACATTTATTTCAGAAAATTACAAACCAGCTCTTCCTCTCTATCAGGAAGAAATAGCTTCTTGGTCAAACGTGAAACTCATTTTCACTAATGCCCATCTCTCACAGTACTCTGAAAGAATTATAGAGGCAAGCGCTAATTAAGATTCAAAGCCTTCAAAATATATAACCTCCATTAATCCTCTGCATAAGAAGAGGGAATACTAACTCAACTCAAACTGGTCAAGAGCACGCTAAGATATTACTATATATCTCAGGAAAGAAAACATCATTAAAATTTCTATTGAAATAGCAGAATGAAAAGCACACAAGTTGAAGGAAAAAAACTTAAGTTCTAACTTGAAAACTGTAGATGCATTTAAAAAAATTTAATTGTCACAGCCTATCATTTTATCCAGATATGTTAGCTTACAATTTTTGCATCAAAATAATATGCGTTTGGAATTTTAATAACATGGCTATTTCCAGACATTTAAGAATCATGGGTTAAGTACAGGTGGTAGATACTATGCTTCTCTCAGAGAGAAATCATAGTAACACAGCTCAGAATTGGCCAGAGGATGCTTTATGCAATAGAATAAGATGTGTGATCTCAAGTCTGACCTCCCACAAAAAGATTTCATGAATTGTCAAACTCACATCTATTCATCATAGCCCAGACCATCATCCCAGGCACATTACTAATTTTCAGCTTTGGTAATGAATTTGATTTGTCCTGAAACCATTTGAAACACGAAAATTTCTCCTCTAAATCTATTCAGGTAGGAAAGCCTTTGAATGAGTTAAGACATCCATGAAATGAGTCTGGTTTATGGAGCACTTAAAGAAGGGCCAAATACCCTGGGTAGTATTATCTCTAAAGAAAGACTGAACAGGGCTAAGGCCCGTATTGCTGTAAGATCCCAAAGCAAAGAGAAACACCAGGAGGTGAAAAAGGTTTTAAGTGAATCCTGACGATTTGGCATCTGGACAGCAAATCTCTGGAAGGGGTCAATGCACAATAACTTCAAATATAAGATTAAAAATGAGATGGTTGTCTGAATAATTACAAATGAAATTCTCTGTTATTAAGGCAGGAAACATTATTTCCTTAATCATCCAGACTACGTCTTCGGATGGATCATATTAACCGAACAATTATTTAACTTTTCAATTTGTTGTGACTGCATGGAGAGAGCCTCTGGGACCCATATACGAGAACATTCATCTCACAGGGAAAACTAATTGTGCCTGACTCTTGCACTGACAAATCACATTACAGTAATTTTATTGTTTCTAGTTAAAAATTGCTGCTTTACTAACAAGTGATGAAAGTTTTACAAATAACAATGCACGCTAGCTCCAGAATGGGGGAAAAAGAGGAGGAGATGGAGGGTAACGTGCAATTCGACAGACACCGGAAGCATTTCACACGGTTGAATACTCCCTGCCTCTTGGTGCCACTTGCCTTCCACAAAGTGACTATCTGCATCTTGTCCCTTCTGCTAGTGACCTTCTTTTGCTGCTGGGCTTATCCTTGGACCTCTTCCCTTTACTTATGTACACCTTCTTCTCTAGATTAGCCCAGCTAGGCTTCTGGCTTTAAACACAATCTATACGGTGATGGGTCCCAAATCTTAGTCTCCAGTCTGCTATCTTCCCCCAAACTTCAGATTCCTTTATCCAACTGTTTATTTGCCAGCCACAGAAGCCAACAGTCTCTCCCACTCATTTCTGACATCAGCAAGCCCTGCAGAGTCCACCACTAATTGGGCAGAAATCTCTCTCTTCTCACTGCCCTTGTCCCACCAGCATTACATTTTGACCTCACTTTAGACCTCTCCTAACTCCTCTCCCTGCTTACAGCCTTGCTCCTACCCCCTAGCCAGTTTACTGTCTCTAGGAATGCCAGAGTGGGATTTTAAAAGCTAATCAGAACCAGGTGAATTCTCCTATGGCTCTGTGGTACTCAGAATAAAAGCCAAAGCCCTTGTGGCACCCAAGGGCCCTTCTCCCTCCTGACCCCCAGCTCACCTCTCCATTCTCATTTCCTTTTCTTTCTTTCTGTCTGCTTTGTATACACACTGACCAAGGTTTCTCCTGCCCAGGACCTCTGCACTTGACACTTCTACTGCCTAGAGTGCTCTCCCCAGAACTTTGTATGGCTTTGTTCCTTTTCATTCAGGTCTCTGGTCATACATCATCTCCTCATGGAGACCTTCCTGGTCATCCTGGTCATCCTCTATGATAAACATTCTCCCATTCTGCCCTCCCCAGACCTTTTATCTCACTTCAATTTTCTTTATATCACTCAGCACAACCTGATAGCATATTATTTTCATTTGTTTTCTTGTCTATTATTTATTGTTCCTAGTAGAATAGTAAGTCCCACCAGGGCCTGGATTTGGACAGACAGCATTTGAAGTGAACCACACAATCCATATTTGTTGAAAGAGTAAATGAATCATGCCATACTCAAGGATGCGAAGATCGACTCTACATGAAGCTTCCCCTTAAGGAGTTCATAAGGGGGTAGGAGAAGGAAGCCCTCATTAACTGAGTAAACTCCATTTCTACTCTATAACCTTTTTATCTTTGGCCAATGTGAGTTGTTGCTTTTTAATGTGTTTTTAAAGTTGCTGGGCCTTTTGCTTATCAATTACAAACTTGTATAAATTCAAAAAAATGTTATAATATAGTATGAAAGAAACCCACAGTAGAACCATAGCCATAGATACAAGACAAACAGTGAATGAAAGGGGAAGATTACCTGGAAGACGGGATGGATCCTGAAGAATGTGCAAGGCAGAAGGCAGGGGGTGGGGGTGGAGAGGAGAAGGAGACATGACCCATTGGGGATGGAGGGAAGGATCTGGTTAAAGGTATGATAAAATGCAACAACCAGACTGCTCAAAATTGGACAGTCTGTATTGCTGGATTGCCAGATGAAAGGAGAATGGCAAACTTTGGGCTAAAGATGAAAAGAGGACCCAGATCAGAGAAAAGGTGTCTTACGCCTTGTTAAGGATGATGGCTGCGGTTCTCAACTGTGTTCATCTGTTTACTGAGAAATATTCATAAATTATAATACCTAGCAAAGGAAGTTGTTAAGCAATTTGATGATCAGATGAACTGAGGGTTTCTTTTTGAAATCATCTTTCTAATATATCACTAAATTGTGACAGTAATCTCCCTATGTTTAAAAGTAGAATGAGTTGAATAATTATGGTTAATATATCTTCGATATTTTAGAATTCTTTTGAGCACTGGTCTTGTTGTCACTATTTAGTTCATAACTCATGAAGGTATATGAGCTCAGTCCCTCTAAGAGTATTTTTTTATAATTTTATGGAAGTCTTTGTATTATTGTTCCAAGTGTCTTTTGATACTGTTTCAGAAAACCTCTCCAATTCAAAAACAAAATCTTGGAAGTGGAGTCAAATCAAGTTTTGAGATGTCTTGCTTCTGAAAGGAACCAAGTTGTAAAAACATCACCCAAACTGCCTTCTCGTTTCTAAGCTACAAACAGGCAAGGATCTGCTGCCTCACTATACAGATGTGAAATTAATTTCCTTGTAAGAAGGATCTAGGATTATTTCCCCCAAACAACAACAGAGAATTTGAGCTAGAAAAGGGTATCTTCAACCAGCGCCTTGCAGGATTATACAAATAGTAAAGATTCCTGGACTATAGGAAAATCATCTGCTGTTTTTAAAAGATACAATGACTCACAGAGACCAGGGAGACAGAGCAGGGTGGATTGTTCCCTTTCTACTCACCCTGCTTCTTTCATACTCTTTCCTGGAGGCAGCAAAAAGCTGAGCATTAGATATGGCGATTCCACAAAAGGGAAGATACATCTGCATAACCTGGGGGACAGAGAGGATTAAGAACATTAGGACGGAAGCACATTAAAACATCCATCCCTGAACTAAATCCCACAGTTCCTGCACATGCCTGGCTGTAATTCTTTCCGATCATCGAGACTGAGTGTGGAGATGTCGATACTAGCATCTCAATTTGAGAAGGAATATTTTTCAGAGTTAATGGTAAGATGACGTAAATCAAGCTTTAACTGGGGAATTCTCATTTATAAAAACACAAAGTAAAGCAACAGATTATGAGGGCTGTGATATAAGAATTGTATCTAAAGGTCATTATAGTCCCTTTTTGGTAAAGAAGAGAATGAACTGTGATATGTCTGGAATTTAAGGCAGGTTCCCACACTCACATTTGGAGGTGGGTGGGATATAAGTCAATTCCTTTGTTTAAAGGTATTTGGTCGGTACCATATACCTTTAACCCTGTGCCACTCACACCTGTGGCGGGGATTTCAGCTTGAGGCTGGACCTGTTGGCCACCAGATTTTAGCAGTGGGCCCAGTGGGAACTTAGGGCCAGAGGGTTTAGCAGCCTCTGCAAAAGAGATCTAAGCGTGAGACATAACTGCACCTAAATACAAACGGGTGGGATGGTTCTAATGAAGCCTGTTTGGGGAAAGGCTGGGAAGCCTGTGGAAGACAGAGCTTCTCCTTTGGGCAGAAACACCCAGCTGTGACGGGCTAACTAGATAGATGGACCCTAACTAGACTGTCTCATCACAAGGCTCTAGGTCTAGAGATTTTCACGACCCCCTGGCACTCTCACTCAATTCATCTCCAGTTCCAGAGAAATAGAACACTCCAAGTAAAAAACTGAAAGAACTATTTCCGTAAACTCTTCACAACGTATAGAAACAAGTGGCATTGCTTTGGAGCTTCTCTACAGCCCGTGGAAGAGTGGGTTTTCTGTCGCAGTCTTTCTTTCACACGCCCACAAGCACAGGTGCCCAGGGCGGAGCCGCAGAGCGCAGAGCAACGGCGACGCACGCAGTTCCGACCATGCCCGGCAGAGGGCAGTGCGGCGCCCACCGTGGGTGGCCAGAGCGGCAGGCGGCCAACTCAGCAGCGCTTTTGAGGCGCCCCTGGGACGTCCAGAGCTGCATTATCTGGAGTGGGAGCTGATTTTGCAGAGGACTCGAGGTAGACATAAGATGGAGGGCAATTCACATTCCCTGTCATTTCTTTCCTATTAAGATCTTGCTTCGGTTACCTGGGCACACTTAACTGACCTAAGAGGATCCATGAAAGAATTTCCGAGCCCTACAGAAACTGAAGCTATGACCTCACTCTTAGAGAGAAACAGTGGGATCAGCATGAAGAAGAGCTTGAAAATCAAGGGGTTGATTTTCAGGATAGATTGCTTCCCTGAATTTTCACATGTTGCTTTCTGGAACTTGATGTTGTTTCGGTTAGCCCCCTCTCCCCTTCCCTACTACTCCCCCCCATGCCTTGGGCCATCTGTCCCTAAGCAAGCTGAAAGCTGTGGACAGAAAGCTCCTGATATTCCATCAGAATGAGGCACTTTCCACATCCCCTGCACACAGAGAAAGCACTTCCCTCACGGGTCTCTGGCTTTCCTCTGCCATGGAAACTGGGACTATAATGGGGTTAAAGGGGTGAAGGTAGGAGTTACTATTTTTAATTCTCCAATACTTATTTATTTTGTTCATATCAGTCTTCAGAGGCCAAGTGTAAAATGGTTCATAAGTCAAATAAGTGAGAAGGAAGGAGACCGACCAAAGGAATATGTGAAATGTTTTCAGATATACTTGGTCATCCTGGAAAAAGTACCACATCCCTCACTGCTGACTTTCACTATAGGCACTGCTGAAGTAGTTCTTTTGGGAAGCCAGGCACCAAGACCAGGGCCTGGTCCTCCCTTCGAAGTAGTTTTAGAACTCTTTTCTGGAATGGCCATTGGAGCTGTCATCTTACAAGGTCATCTGAAAATTAAGTTTGTGACTTATCCTAGAAAAAGGATGATGACAGCTTTCATCATGGCCATTCCAGAAAAAGAGTTCCATAATTGCTTTGAAGGGGAGACTAGGTGCTAGGATTGTTGCATAGCTTCCCAAGGGGACTAATTTGAAGGTGACCATAGTGATAACTCAGCAGTGAGGTATGTAACTCTTTACCTAGGATGAGTTCACAAACTTAACTGTCTGACCTTATATCATAGGTTTGCTTCATCTCACTTGTAATCTCAGTATTTATTGAGCCCCAGGCATCATGTATAATTAAAAAGAATCTGGATTTTCGGTGGTGCCTGAGGCTCAAAGGGGTAGGGCGCCAGCCCCATATACCGGAGGTGGTGGGTTCAAACCCAGCCCCGTGGCCAAAAAAAGAATCTGGATTTTAAATCAGATGACCTTTGTTCTTTTTATGGCTTTTCTATGTGAAATTCAATAAGTTCCTTAATCCCTCTGAACCTTTTCTTTTCTTTCTTTTTTTTTTTGAGACAGAGTCTCACTATGTCGCCCTCGATAGAGTGCCATGGTGTCACAGCTCACAGCAACCTCAAACTCTTGGACTTAAGTGATTCTCTTGCCTCAGCCTCCCACGTAGCTGGGACTACACACACCCACCATAATGCCCCGGCTGTTTTTTTGTTGTAGTTGTCATTGCTGTTTAGCAGGCCCCGGCCAAGTTTGAACCCACCAGCCCCAGTGTATGTGGCTGGCACCCTAACCACTGAGCCATGAGCCTGAGTCTGAGCCTGTTCTCTATCTATAAAAATGCCAGGTTTATGGTCCTTTTTAGTTCTGATACTTGGTGATTCAAATAATGTGAAATATCAGTGAGTTGCAATAATCTATTTACTAGAGAAAACCAAGAATTCAATAAACATGCTTGCATCTTATTCAAAAAACAATCCTTAATCATCATAATTGACATTGACAAAGCCCTTTTGTCAATGTGTTGGCCATGACGCTAAATGTCAAGCATGATGTTAGGCATTTTACTTGTATTATATCCACTGATCCTCACAACATATTAGTGGCATATGTTATACCACTAATTCCATTTTTCAGGTAAGAAAACTGAGACTTTAAGAATTTCAACCCAGGGTGGTACCTGTGGCTCAGTGAGTAGGGTGCCAGCTCCATATACCAAGGGTGGGGGTTCGAACCTGGCCCCAGCCAAACTGCAACAAAAAAATAGCCAGACATTGTGGCAGGCACCTGTCATCCTAGCTACTTAGGAGGCTGAGGCAAGATAATTGCCTAAGCCCAAGAGCTGGAGGTTGCCGTGAGCTGTGACACCAGGGCACTCTACCAAGGGTGACAAAATGAGACTCTATCTCTGAAAAAAAAAAAAAGAATTTCAGCCCAAAGTTGTTGGAAGATAATTATTTGTAGCTCTGTTATATCTGGCAAACAGAGGCACTGGCTTTTCCTTTCAAGGATGTTTGTACAGTGAGCAGCCTTGGAAAATAAAGACAATATCTCCTTTCAGAGCAAAGAGCAGAATTGTTTACTACTCAGTAGAACAAAGATAATATCTCCCTCCAGGCAGAGGTCAGGCAGGCTCTCTGTCCATTATAAAAGATGGGGGTTGCTTGCAGTTGAGATTCCTCTTCAGTAATGCAATCCACTATGTGCGCTGTTACGGGGTCAGGGAACCAAGACAAATGCTGATGCTCTCACTATTGCTACTGTCCTTTGTCACTGATGCAGGAGTCCCATGTCTCCTGTCAACATCTATGAGACTGTGGCAGATTAACTTACTAGTTTGAAAGTACAATATAAAAAAGAATCTCAAAGCCTTCATGGTTAACAAGGCTGCCTAGATAGTAACTGGTGAAGCTGTATTTTGAATCTATGCAATCTAACTCCAGAATCTGCCTCCTTAACTTCTACATTCTCCTGCCTCCCAAAGTAATACATATCTTTAATGTCACTGGTATGATGGCCTGATTAACTACCATACGATCAGACAGGCTGCTATGGCTAGAAGGAGATTCTTTCAGTGTAGAAGCAGTTATTGGAGATTGTAGAAGCGGAAAGTGGTCTGGTTTCTAGAGATAACATAGTCCTCAGGAGGTAGTCTGTCTAGCAGTTGCCTTAAGGGAGATCTTAAACAGAGCAAACCTCACTGATACCCCATTCAGCCAGGGCAGAATGTTCAAGCAGAAAACAAGCTGGCCTTAGGAGAGCAGGGCCCTAGCCTGGAGCTAGGGGGTTAAGGATCAGATTACACTTTTGGTGGTAGAAGGGAGGGAAATAGCAGAAGAAAGAAAAGAAGATCCCTGATCAGGTATTAAATGTGAGGCATTTAATCTAACATCTAGCATCTAAACTGTTTTAGAGACACAGAACTGATCACAGGTAAGGGCCGTGCCAGGGCAAAGCCTACAGTACCAAGGCGTGGCTCCAGCTGTACATACAGTGGTGAGGGAACCAGGAAGCGGGAACCAGCCTATGTTCAGTACACTCCCCAAGAAGCCCATTCTTAGGCCTGGGGACACTTTCTGTCTCCAGGAGCCCAGGAACAGCCCAAGATCACACTGTCAGTCCATGGCAAATCTCCATCCTCATCCAATTGTTAGTCTAAAACATTTTCAATCCGAAAATACTTTTTCTAAATAGTATAAGGTATTTTTTGAAGAATGCAATGTAGTAGCAAGAAAGCACGAAAGTCAGATTGGTATGATGAGGTCTTTAACCTACCCAGATGTGTCTGACAAAGCATCCCTGGATTCAGTCCTCAGATGAGCAACATTTACTTGCCACAGCCTCAGGAAAGGCAACTCCATGATCTTCCTCCATTTTAAACGTTTAACAAATGCCACTTTCAAAAAATGTTCTCCTATAAATGTAACAAACCCCTCATAGCACAATGTGACTGCTATTCTTATTCTTCAGTGACAATGAAAAACAACAAAAACTCTGCTAATGTAAACTGATTATGAAGCATTTAACGTGGCATTTTGAAAGGCAAAAGAGGCTCACTCATGCTGTCTTGTTTTGTGTATTCCAATTTATCAAG